GGGGGGGGGGGGGGGGGGGGGGGGGGGGGGGCGATACTTTATTGGCCCGGCTCTGAACAGGAAGTCCTGAAGTGAATCACACTACCCAGGGACAGCCGGGGAGTCTGACAGACCTCATGTCCCTGTATTCCGGGTGGCGCCGCCCTGGTGGTGACTCACTGCTGATTGTCCCTTCTTGTCACTTCAGTTTCTATGAAAATGAACTGTTTGTAGACCACTGGAGTTCTGTGTAAAAATACATTAAAAAAATTCTCTGTTTTACTGATGCCAGGGGAGCACGCAGTCGGCCGCTTAGCGAGAATCCATAACTGAGCTCCAGCCTCATTTAACGCGATTCCAGATCTGGCTTATTTTAGAAGCTGCATCTGAATCCTGCGTGACGCCTCGTCTGGACCGTCTGGGTGGGTCGGGGGGCAGACCCACAGGGGTGGGGGGGGGGGGGTGGTACTGTTTGTGTGTTAGCTTGACGGTGGCTACTGTATCTTCCCCGAGGTCGGCGGGGTCACAGGTAGCGGGACACTTCTGGCCGGGATCCGTGTTGTTCTGGCAGATCTGTTCCAGATGACGGGCAAACTGCAGCCCTGACATGACTCACACTTAAACTGGAAGTCGGCTCCGATTGTTTTTTTTTTTTTTTGGGGGGGGGGGGGCTCCCAGGGGGATACGTAAACGTTAGCCGCCGGGAGAGTCTCGACGACGCCCTGTAACCACCCCCCCCAACAGGAATAATGGCCAGCAAGGCCATTATGTAGCTGATTTTTCCTCCATTTAAGAGACATGTCTGTCACCCCCCTGGGAACCCATCTCTGCGTGCTTATTGGACAAAGGTGTCCGGAAGGTGATGATGTGTCAGCAGCCGTGTCATAAACGGGGGTGCACGCTTATTACATTTACTAATTTATCTGACACTTTTATCCAAAAGTTCCTTTTTTTTACGTGCACTCCCTGGGATTCGAACCCACAACACTTGCATTATTAGCATAATGCTGTAATTGTTGAGCTACAGGAGTGGGATTCTGGGATGTCGGTATCATCATTAATTGAGGGTGGCATCTGGAATCTGCAGTATAATGTTCCTGTCAGCTCAGCCCTAACACCCCCCCCCCCGTCTCACAGCCTCAGAGCCCAACCTGAAGCTGCGGTCGCGGCTGAAGCAGAAGGTTGCCGAGCGACGGAGCAGCCCGCTGATGCGCCGGAAGGACGGCAGCGTGCTCATGGTGCCCTACAAGAAGAGAGTGCTGGAGTTTGCTGGTAAGACTCTGCCCCCCCACACCCTAACCCCGTCTCTCAATGCTCAGCTTCCCTTCTCTCTCTCCTTTTTACCCCGTCCTTCACTCCCCTGTCATTCTCCTGCCTACCCCATCTGCCCCGTACTGGAGCAGATACCATTACAGTGGTAACACATTATAAATAACAATGCCATTTTAGCGCCGTGTTCGCTGGTGTATCTGCCTCTTGTTCTGACTTCTGATCCATTTGCTGGATTTCACAGGCTCCATAGCCAGCAGCAGTGCCCCAGGATCCGGACCCAGCTCTCCCAACGACAGCTGCGGCAGCCTGGTACTGGAGAACGGCGCCTCCCCTGTGTCGGCCACGCAGAGCGAGGTACACGGCCGTCAGACTGCGGGAGGACATGCAGACACACACACACACACACACACACACACACACACTGCAGCCATCAGTGAGCGGCTGTTTTCATCTCTTCATACAGCCCCTTGGGTTTTTGCATTGGTCACATGACCTTAAGGCTCGTTTGGTTCATTAAATTAAGTGTGGACTCTGCGAATTCGCTTTGCTGCGTTCCGCTGAAATCGGTCGTTCAGGAAGACTTGCTGGGTGGTTAAGCCATCAGATTCCCGTCCTTGTTAATTACGCAAGTACTTGGGGAGAACAGAAAGGATCGTTATTTAACTAATCAGGAATGCCCTTTTCTCTGGTTCTGATTTGTTAATCTTGTCTCTCTAATTTATCGGTAGAGCCCAGCCGCTCTATGAACCTGAAATGCAGCTGATTTGCATGACTATAGAACATGGGCAGAGCTGACCTCAATGTGCATGTGACTGAGCTATACCGTAGCAGGCCAGGAGGCTAGGGGGCGACGTAGAGCCAGCTTCAGGGCTCACAGCTTTCACTGCCTGGTAGAAGTAATGCCCCATGCATATAAGACAGGACAGCCACAGGCTCCCATCGCAGAACAGCACCAGCTGTATGTTCACACACCACAGACATCAGCTGGAGACCTGAGGTTAGCCTAGCCGTTAGCCTAGCCATTAGCCTAGCCGTTAGCCTAGCCATTAGCCTAGCCGTCTGCCAGGAGCTTTTTACAGACGCTGGACAATCAGCTTGCAGCATTTCTATAGCATTTCCATGCACACAGCTTGGCTGTGAGGGTGATGATTTGTGTCCCACGCTGTCTAAGGAAGGGAAACAGGAGCTCATAGCATATATTAAAGGCGATTAGCAGTATTTTGTGAGTAATATTAGGAATACTCCACACTCCAGTTATTTGTGGAGAGTAACACCTGCCTGGTGCCCTCCCAGTACAGGCCTGTCTGGATTTGGGATCTAATGGTGGTTCTGCAGGTTCTTGTTGTTCTTTGCACCTCCCTCCAGGTGGTGCCACTGCGGCTCCCACATCCAACAGATGACAATGGTTTCTTCTTCTCCTGTCTGCCGGAGCGTCTCTGCCGCGTGGACCCCATAGCGACCCGCAGCTCCGTCCCCCCCCCCCCCCCCCCCCGGACCGGGTTATTTTTGGGTGGGCCTGGAGACAGGCCCCTAGCTGCCCCTGTCTGGCTGTTTTTGTTTGCCCTGTGAAATGTTAGAGGAGATGTTAAAGACACAAGGGGGGGTGCTGGGTGGGGGGGTGCTGGGGCTCTATTATTTTTGGCCTAATTGATATCCCAGGCGCTGGTAGCAGAGGGTGGCCCAGTACTAAAAACAGACAGATCTGTTGTGATATTGACATGAGACCCCCCCCCATGCCACCGTCGGACCGCACACTTCCTGTTTGTTTGGCGAGCAGGGGGCACCAGAGTGCTGCCACACAGGCCACACCTCCAGGAGCAATGCGTCCCCCGGGGCTGCTGGTCTCACATACAGGTCATTGTGCTGTGGCCCCCCCCAGGACCCTTGCTGGGCGAAGGAGCCCCCACAGGGCACAGGAAGCATGCCCCAGCGGCAGACGAGGCTCCGGGGCGCACTAGGTTTTGCGGTGTTTCTGTAAGGTTTATCATGGAGGTGTGGGGGGGGGGGGAGTTATGGCTCTGTCCGCCCCTGCAGAAAGCTGATGATCCTTTTTCACTCCTCACTGGGCTGAGGAACGCGTCATGCCGTGACTCAGATCCCCGGTTCTGTCCTCACAGGAAGCCGCTCAGCCTCTCTGCCCGTTTCCACCGGCAGGTTCAGTACAGGGGTCTGTTCAGTCCGTGGTCACAGTGCCGGACCAGCTGACAGTGCGTTGCACTCTGTGCCATAACTGATCACTAAGGGGTGATATACTCTGTGGTGTTATATGCCAAGGGGCAAATTATATTGTCACAATTCGATTGCTCGCCAGAGTCTTTTCTTTGCAAAAGTAGCTCTCACTTTGAAAAAGGTAGATGATCACTGCCATACTGTCTATGGTGTATATTCTATGGTATACAGATAATCCCTTGCACTCTGTATTGTATATTCTATGGTATACTGATAATCCCTTGCACTCTATGGTGTATATTCTATGGTATACTGATATTGAGTTGCCCACGGACCTGTTCTGAAAATAGCACAACTCACCAGTGAGCAGTGTCTAAAATTTAATTTTAATCACATTTGCATTTATATAGATTTGAAAATGACAATATCTAAAAAAAAAGCATTTAAAACATGTTTATTATACATGAAGGTTAGATAAGTTTAGGAGGGCGTTTCAAACTGGTAGCCCTTCGTATGGCTCAGTACCCGTGAAGTAGCTCTCCGTTTCAAAAAGGCTGGTGACCCCTGATCTATGGTGTATGCCCTGTGGTATATGCTCTATGGTGTATGCTCTGTGGTATATGCTCTATGGTGTATGCTCTGTGGTATATGCTCTATGGTGTATGCCCTGTGGTATATGCTCTATGGTGTATGCCCTGTGGTATATGCTCTATGGTGTATGCTCTGTGGTATATGCTCTATGGTGTATGCTCTGTGGTGTATTGATAATTCCATACGCTGTATGGTCTTGTCTCCCATTTTCCTGCCTGCAGCGTCTGCTGTCACACCAGAGACTCCTGAAGCCCGACAACTCCATTAGACTGCTGTACACATCGCCCTCTCTGCCCAACATCACGCTGGCGCTGCCCCCCGCAGCATCTCCCTCGCCCATCGCCGTGAGTGCCCCTACCCCTGCCCGTGTGTCCGTACCTCCCCCTGTGTTTCTGTCCTCCTCCTCCTCCTCTTTGGCCCGGCCTGTTGAAAAACTAGCTGTCAGAGGTTCCCAGGGTTAATGTATGACTTTGGGGGGGCGACCCTTGACCCCCCGAGGATTTATGCCTCTTGGGTAAATAACGGCGGCCAGTATCCACTGTCAGTCTCACTGCCAGCCGTCTTTGGCACCTCGTTCATCACGCCCATTTAAGACGTTACAGCCGTCACATGCTCAGTTGCACCTCCAGATAACACGCAGCCACATCCCTCATTTGTGCGTTAGATTTACACATTCAACCTTGGGAAATGATGCTCTGGGGTAGATGTGTTAAATCGCTTAAATCCTGTTCACTTTTGGGGTCTTTTTCGGTGTTTACATCATGTGACATAAAAAGAACGTAATATGGTACAACCAAAAAGTCCACGTTCGGATGCCCGCTGAGCGTGGTGTCCGTTCAGGCGGGGGGAGCATGGGCAGTTTCCAGAAAGTTCTATGACACAGGGAACTGATTGAGAGAACGGAGAACCGAGAACCAGAGTTCGTAAATCACACCGTCTTCAATAGCTGGTTAGCTGGATAACTTGTCGGATTTAAGGTGGCCCACTTTAAATGGACTTTATCTTCGTTCACTTACGTTTAACCCAGACCACCTTAAATGCGATAAGTTATCTTGCTATCCCAAAAATCGAAGCCCCTGGAGTCTGATAGACCAAATGATTGTAATAATTTCAGGAAATTGCCCCCCTGGCTCGTCGTCTCCCACCCCCTCTTCATCTCCCCGTTCCCCTGCCTTCCAGGCCGCCACAGCCCTGAAAGAGACGTCAGCGGACGCCGGGACGGGCAGGCAGGCTCACTTCCTGGGCACCATGCCTCCGGTCGCCTTGGAAAGCAAAGTGAACAGCAGCCACCAGGCTCTGCTGCAGCACCTGCTGCACAAGGAGCAGATGAGACAGCAGAAGATCCTCCCGCCAGGTAAGATCCCAGAGAAATGGCCGCCAACAGTAAAGGCTGCTTCTTAAAGGGCCGGCAGGTCTGTTTGAGTTCAGGTATCAGCCTTAATAGGATTATAGTGATTCAAAGTAGTAAAACAGAAGGATGTATAACCAGCTTCCCCAACCACTCAGGCATCGGAAACGTCCCGGGGCTGCCCCCGTCCCCGCTGGCCGTGAGGGAGCGGCCCTCCTCCAGCCTGCGGCCCAAACTGCCCCGGCACCGGCCCCTGAACCGCACGCAGTCGGCGCCGCTGCCTCAGAGCACCCTGGCCCAGCTGGTCATACAGCAGCAGCATCAGAGCTTCGTGGAGAGGCAGAAGCAGTACCAGCAGCAGGTCTACATCAACCAGGTGGGTGGCAGCGGGGGTGTGGGCGGCGGGGGTG